TAAGAGTCTCACGTTAATACTAAAGCAAGAACACTATCCGGCTTCATCTTACTACTTATATAGACTCAGTAGAGTCAATAGATTAAAAATTACAAATCTAGCCATTCATCCTCCGACGAAGTCAAATTAAGATAGTACAGCGTATAGTACCCATACTTGCGGATATTAGGCAGTCTTCACGCATTATATCCTTGATTAAACCCGTGGAACCCGAGCAAATTGTGTTATCTATAAATGGCCGCCTGCTACTTTTTGAGTAAATTTTTTTCAATTAGACGATAAGGCCGAATTTATACAACGGCTGTGATTATCCATCGTCCTAGTTCGGTGACCGCACGCACCCAAAGTTGTGCTAATTTCTATGAGCATACTACACTTATTGGAAAGTGTTTGCTTGATTTATAAAATTTTCCCACCCCTTTCCTCCTCACGATCCGCTTTCCGCTAGCTAACGATTGCTCCATAATCAAAGTGTTTCCTTTTTGCTGGTGTTGCCGTATCCTTGCTTTCCCCAAGTTTCCTTATGCAATAGACAAAGTTATAGCTATCGCTGCCTTTCTCAATCCTCCTGTTCATTAGAATCTTTTCTCCAAGGAAGTCAATGGCCTCCCTTATCTTTATTATTCATTAGTTATTAATTTTTTCCAAGGCTATTGGATGAATATTTCCAAGTTATATATACTTATCAAAGGTATGAAGACCCACATGGCGTGACCCTCATTATGGTCGTGGTCACCTTTCTTTGGATCAAAGTATTTTAACCTTGTTTTGAAAACTTGGCCCTATTGTCAGGAAGACTTAGAGGAACGCACATTGTGTGGAGAACATAGTATGCATAGTAATTTTCAGTCGGGCAGTAGACTTAAGACAATCCCAAGCGTTCCGCCACCATTGTAATGGCATTGTCAGTGAGCCTTGCCATTATTGGCACCACACTACAACTCCTCTATGAGACAAGTGAACTTGATCCTCTGACTAATCGCCTGACGTAAGATTCCATTAATCTTCTTATTTGAGTACTTCTTTAGTACACCACAGTATACCTTCATTTTTTTCTTGTTTCTAGTCCATTGCAACTGTCGCTCCTCCTTTGTCCGCCTGAAGAACCAATTGTTCATTCCTTTTTAGGGTCCTGCGTATGCTCGCAAATCTGTTATTGTGTGTTGGTTCACTATGTGTCAAGATTCTAGAAATTATTTCTATTTCAATTTCCCGTTTTGGCTCATCAGACAATTGGTCGGAGATATTGATGACCTACATTAATGTCTTTTATAATGGAAAAGTTTGATCCTTCTTCAGGATCGTAGTGGTTTCAGGAACACGAGGAAGCGAGGATAAATTCACTATCTTATTCCGCTAATCGTACTGATCAGTACATGTCGACTTGAAAATCCCTTCAATTGGGCGCGCTGGTTTCAACCTACTTAAGCAATTTATTGTCGTGTCTTTTCGTTATTAAGTCAGAGATCCTACGTGATTTCTTGTCGGCTATACTCTGGAGTTTTTAAAAAATACTCCGTCAGAATCTCGGCTAGATCCCGTCAGAGCTTTGACTTAATATCTATAAACGTAAATAGTTTATCCCTCTACATATCATAGATTTCGTTTACCCTTTGAATAAAGGTTTAGGAAAGAATCTCATTAATTCTTTCTTAAAGGTAGTTTCTCTTAGTCAAAAAATACAGGAGTGATACCATAGCGTTCAGTTGGCTTGATTTACTTACAATTGTCTTCGTTGTTCAGGCGTGTTCAGCACGTTACCTTGCAATCTAGCTATCGTAGTATTAACTTAGATACGAAGGCCAATAGATTGTGTCCTCTATTTTGGACGCAGTCCTCTATCGATGCATATAGTAATTGCTTGACCTTGCTTAAGCAACTTGGTCATATTGGCAGAAAGACCTAAAGGAATGAACCTCGTCCGGAGTATATAGTATGCATGATAATTTCTAGTCAAATCGTGGACTTGGTGCATACTTAGACGATGCCCTGGTATCGTCAGTGAGACCTGCCATTCTTAGCACCAAACTACAATCCTCGTCAAGAAAAGTACATCCCCTGGCGAATTTTATGTCAAACGGTTGCGTTAATATTCATTCTTCCGTCCTGATAGATTTACCTACCCCTGAGCTTTGACCAGTTGGGGTATGATTCTAAGAATTGCAAGAATCACTAGCGATGCCGAAATGTTAGGGAATGCGTTAAGTCCATGGTCCAATGCTGGGAATAATCATAACTTTTATAGCAGGGGACTTTGCATAAGGTACGTCCAAATAGGCCCTGCTGACAACACGACCAAGTTGCGAGAACTAAATCAGACCACTTCAAAAAAGATTAAAGTTGATCTAAGAGATCTTTCTGTAAACTTAAAATCATTTATACACGATAATAAGATCCAAGATAAAAAATAAAGTAATTTTATAATATAAAATAAAATGACTTCAAGGAACTAAGGTAAAAATCTGTTTTTGAAGTTAATTTCATATGATAATGAATAAAAACACGAAAAAAATTAAATTGGCTTTAAAACCAGACTTAATCAGTACCCTAGAGATTTATAGAATTGAGGCCTTAGAGAATATGCATATTACATCTCCATATCTAAATATACAATAAATGTCATTCAAACCTTATTTACTCCGGCGTCAGGCAATTGGACATCAACCTGTCTGCATAAAGCCTGCCTATTAACATGAGCTTGAATCGAAGTTAAACAACGAGCTCCAGACAAGAAAGATGTAGCAGATGAGGCAAGATTCGATACCATAACAGAAGATGATGGATAAAATTGATAGCTGCAGGATGACCTCTTCTCATTCAAAGGCAATACGGATTCGTGATTACTAAGATCATTACTTTGTTCGAAGAGAGATTCTGCTTGCAAGGATTGACATTGTTTCAAGGAGTTCTCGTGGGGTTCTAGCGAGGTTTGTTTAATTTGCTTTGAAGGAAAAGAAGAGTTTGGAGAAATTTGAAGTTCACGAATATCTTCTTTCTGTGAAAAGGTTTTT